TGTGTGTGTGTGTGTGTGTGTGTGTATGCATGTTTGTATGTATATATATATGTGTGTGTGTGTGTGTCTATACGTACTCATAACCGTATGTAGAACCATATCCGTCTTTTCCGAAATATGGCGTCCATGTCGGATGTCCGACCACGTCTTATGAAAGTGCTCTCATTGAAAATGTTTATACGACAATCCGACGCAACACATTAAGAATAACTGTGTGATCGGTGCAGAATGTGACAGCCTTTACCTTTTGTAGGACAATATAGGTCGGATTTGACATATGCTCGCCCGCCGCCGATGCCCAAAAGTTAAAACATTCCTAAATTATCACACGTCTATAAATAGATCTCGGCTCACCTGATAACCCTGTCGAAGTTGTAGGTAGTAGCTAGACGCTACCTTCTTCTTGGCCCCCGCCTAGAGCGCAGTGGAACAATCACTCATACATTTCACACGTCTATAAATAACACTACAGCTATAAATTGATCTCGGCTCACCCGACAACCCGGTCGAGTGGTACGTAGAAGCTCAAGCGGACTTCTTCTCCTCGCGTTGCGCGCAACAGAACAACAACTCACACTATTCATCCGTCTATAAATAGAACACTATAGTTATAACTCACCTGACAACCCGGTCAAGTGGTAGGTAGAAGCTGGACGCGGCCTTCTTCTTGCCCCCTGCATTGAGTGCAATGGCCCTGCCAAGTGAATCAATCACCGGAGAACCACTCGAGCCGCCAGAAGTTCCCGATGCCGCCTTTTGCAAAGACGATTGGAAACATAATGCGTGAAAGTTCGGGTTAGTTGAAGTGTTAGTGTGTGAGTGGGTGGGTGGGTGGGTGTGCGTGTGCGTAAGACAGTGATTGGCTGCATGTACCACACGTGATGGACTAGTTTTGGCTGAGAGCGGAATAGGTGTCTGTGTGAGGGGTCTGTACGTGACCAGGCTTTCACCTGCTAACAGAGTACCTGCGCTATGTGATCATACAATAACTCATGCCCTTCGCGCTCGGCGCTGAGTTCTATATCAACAAGTGCCATCTGGCTATTTGGGGCCACGCCGTCGATCTTTGAAAGGAGTGTAGGTACGCCTCTGAAAATAGTTCGAACAATTTGCAAAGTAAAGATACAACATTGTAATTAATTTGGACTAATCAGCACTCCCAATAAGCACCGTTGGTATTAATTTACATTAAACTGTACTCTCGATAAGCGCCATTTCAATTATTCAGAACTACTTTGTACTCTCAATGGCGTCCTTGGAATGAATTTAAATTAAACTGCACTCCTAATAAGCGTCATAGCAATTAATTGAACTAATCTGCACTCTCAATAGCGTATAGCCCTACAATGAGATAGTAATAGTTTCAACTGACAGTAATATTATTTCGAACTAATCTGCACTCCTAATAAGTGTCAAAGGAATTAAACTGAACTAACCTGTACCCCCAATAAGCGCCAATGGAATTATCTAGTCATTGGAATTAATTTGAACTAATCTAAAATTAATTTGAACTAATCTGCACTCCCAATGACTTCCAACAAGCGTGATCAATTGGACGCCGCTCGATCTAGTCCGTTCCATTGATCTCTTTCCCATAGGCGTTGATGAGTCACAGTTGTAGTCGCATGTGGCCAGTAGCCCATCTCCACCCACGCACCTTAGCCACACTACATCCCAAGTACCTTGGAACCCCACTACATACTAAACTATGTCCAGTAAAGAGTTTCGCCTGTCTAATGATATGGCTCTCTACATCAGCTGTTTAACCTAGCCTATCTCCATATATATATATATATCAAGTGTCGTGCAACCACACTTAATACTAAACTACGCCTCAAAAAAATTGTATATACCGAGCACTTTGGTCTGTTGAAAAGGTCTCACACACCTCCCACGACTACTAACCATCTGCACACTTCCGCCAGATCACCTAAGGCGAGCCTACGCCCACCTTTGCACTCGTATTTGATATCAAATACACCTCTCTCAAAGTGATATCAAAGTGATATCAGATACACCCTCGCTCTCATAGTGATATCATATACACCCTCACTCTCATAGTCATTTTCTCTCATCCCCGGAGATCCGGCCATACAAGCCGCACTCAGATATCTGAGACGTCACGCTATGTAACTCTCCTTCACACGCTTGGGCCACCTCCTGTCCCCATCTACCTACAACATCCAACTCGAGTATTGCCATTCCGCTATTCCAATCTACCTACCACGTCCAACATACGTTTCGCCACCCCCTGTTCCAATCTACCTACAACTTCCAACATAAGTGTTTCCATCCCCGTACTGCAATCTACCTATATCCCCCATACACTTAACCCCTCGGGAGGTGTTTTGCTTGACATAACATTCCTTGAGTGGACTTCAGCGGTGTATTGCACACGACCTTTCTGTACCCACACCCCCTTGACTGCAACTTATGGATTTCCTGCTCTCGCCAATCCAATTCCTACACAATATTGTGTATTTGCCGGCCAATTAATCTGTGATTGAGCCAAATAACTGACCCATTTTCACTTCTCCAACGTGTATCATGCCCTGCTTTCCCGCACACTTCTTAGCACTACTGACCGTACCAATGTATCGAACCTCTACGGCTCCCTTTTCTATTTATAGAATTCCCACTATTGGCCTGTTCTATTTATATCAGTCAATGAAAGCTTCACATTCGCATCCCATACACAGCCCTCCTGCATAAATAGTAGATGCCCTTTCGACCACGCGCTCTCCCCTTTAAATTGAGTTGTCAAGACACCCCCTCAAGCACCCTGACTAACCACAGCCCAAAGCTCAATAGCATGGTACGCACGAACCGAGACACCCCCTCCTAAGCACATACTACACCCAACCCAAAGCTCACCAAAACCCTAAACCCTAAACCTAATGCCTTGGCTTGCACAACGCCCTGTTGTACGGCATTTCTCAACTTCATATGCCACTTCAGCAATGTCAAGCATTCTTAATATCTTTGCGAAAGCCGCTGAAAGACTATGGCATACACATGTGGTCAATGTAGGAGACTTCAGGTACTCGCTCCGTTCTATTTATAATATTTGCTCATTTCTATTTATAGTACTTGCTCCGTTCTATTTATAGTGCTCGCACGTACTATTCAGATTATTTCCACAGTCTAACTCTAAAGCCTTCGTTTTCTTTTCTGAAAAAAGACCAAGACCACCTTGTCCTCACAAGCACATGATAGACATTGAGAACTCGTTGGGTACCTAGATAGTACTGCAGTGTACTCGGCTAACTGGAGAACAGCAGCATTATAGATATGGACCTGGCAAACACATAACAACATGTGGCACTTAAGTGGAGCTTTGGTACTTTCGAGAACATTTAGCTGTAGTTGTGGCAGAAATCTAACAATAATAATATATGTATATGTAGTATATGTATATGTAAGTGTAATGTATATGTAAGTGTAATGTATATGTATATGTAAGTGTAATGCATATGTATATGTGAGTGTAATGTATATGTATATGTATATGTATATGCATATGTGTATGTATATGGATATGTATATGCATATGTATATGTATATGTACATGTATATGTATATGTATATATATATGTATATGTATATGTATATGTAAAAGTAAATGTATATGTATATTTATATGTTTATGTATATGTATATGAACATGTGATACGAAATCAACGACGATTCGCCCTAAAGCAGCCTCTCTGAACTACAGATGTAAGACATGATAACAGACGCCGACAAATGAACCCACCTGCGTTTGCATGCCATAACTTCATCACAAACAAATTATACCAAATTTAGAACCCCACTACCACTTACCAGAGGCATACACGGTAAACTCAAAAAAAAATGAGATACACTCCATCAACATCATAGAAGACTGCATCTCATACGGAAACGTCGAATTTCAGTCAACGACACAAATGGCTCTAACAATAACAAATGCAATAGATTGTAATTGGGGCTGTTACGCCAAAATTAAAAGTTAAATAACAGGACAAATTCGTACGCCAAATCAAAAATTAAATAATAGGACAGAGTCTAATTTGTCAGTCTAATTCGGCATTGGCGACGATGGCGTTTTTATCCTGCTACTGCAGTTCCACCACTCGTGATGCGAATCTCATAATCAACGACGATGGTGAGCTTTTATTTCCAAAAAGAATCGCCAAAATTGTGGATTTAACCCGCGACAAGTGGTGTAGCACTCACAGATTGCCAGAAGGTGACGAGAACCACGTGTGTTCATAGACGGTGCTTTATATGAATAGGTATACATTCACAGCTGTTCACGCACAGGCATTCATTGCGTTCCTGACAATTCATACCTACACGTCAAATACATATATATATATATTATATATATATATATAAAATAAATTGAATATACATAAATAATATG